GTACTACATTACGTCTCTCTCTCTCTCTCTCTCTCTCTCTCTCTCTCTCTGCTCGAGTGAGATTTTTTATTTAGCTCTTTTTTCGGTTGGAATTAGTACTTCATTATACAGAGGTATTTGTACTAGCTGGAGCTGAGCTCTCCTAGATCTATTTATCTTCTTGTGAATAATAATGGTTAACCATATATTAAGACAGTTCCTTAATGGTTAGACGCTTTCTGTAATGGTTGATAATAAACATATATATTTTCCTTGAGATAACTACTACTTGCAGTCTTGTTTTTTTGAAACATTCCACATTAATTATGAAATTTTTGGACCTCTCGGTTGTGTGTGAGAGAGAGATATTTTAAAGCATTTGCACAATAATGCACCACCATTCAGCAAGAAAAAACTTCAGCAAGAAAAAACTAGTGTTCCCCTTACAACATAGAAGTTTTATCTTCCCCCTATCATCCAGCTCTCCATTTTTTATACTCCCCCTACCATCTGACTCTTCATTTTTCATCTCAAAGCATTTTATTTTTAGTTTTTTTTATACAAATTTTATGAATATGAAATTTGGTACGTGCATCTTCTTGTTGGGGCGCACCAATAAAAATATTAACAATAATTTTTCGATAAAAAATAATGACCAAAATACGGTATTTTGATCATTTTATTATTGAAAATATTTTTTTATATTTTTCGTTAGTGAGTTTAATAGAGGAATGGACGTCTAATAGTTTATAGAAAAAAAATTAAAATAAAATAGTGTAGAGACGTGACATTGTGATTGAGACAATCTTAACCCTCTATTAAAAAAATGGAGGGTTGATTGGGGCAATTTTAGCCCTCCATTAAAAAATGGACGGTTGGAGGCAATCTCATAGAAAGCTTTCCCTTTTCTTATGGTATGGGGCATCAAAAACTCTGCCTTAAAAGAGTTTTTTCTGTAAAGCAGTTTTATGAATTCAGAACTTTTTTTGTCCATTTTATTTTTAGTTTTAAGAGTTTGTTAAGTATGGTAGGATTGGAATCATTGATGTGTGATAACAGTTTCACAAGATATTCTCTGCTTTCCCCATCTGTATTGTTCCAATTTTATTGGATGTCTCCGAAGGTGGTACATATTCTCAGGTAAATTTTAAAATCTACCTTCCATAAACAGCCATAAAATATACAAAATTTAAAAAGCATAACTCATAATATTCATAATTTATAAGATATGCCTTTATTTCTAAACAATTTTATAGAAGTGCTAAGTTATACATGTGTTTTATTTTTTTTAGCTTTTAAAACGACCAGAAAACTTCCCCGAATATTCCAAAGAAATGCTACCTTCTAAAACAAATGCTCCAAAGCAAACACGATTACACTCATATGAGAGATTTTGGCAAACATGATTACACTCATATGAGAGATTTTGGAGTCCTTTGTAATAATAGTTCTAGAACAAATGCTCCAAAGCAAACATGATTTTGGAGTCCTTGTAATAATAGTTCTAGAACAAATGCTCCAAAGCAAACATGATTACACTCATATGTGTGATTTTGGAGTCCTTGCAATAGTAGTTCTAGTACCGTAAACCAAAAATCCATTTCCACTCCTAATTATGAAATTAAGAGCTCCAAAAATTGTTAGCCTGAAAATCTATTTCTACTTATTTTTGGCCCGAAAATCTGGTAAAAACGTTATTTAGATTGAATGTATTGTAAAACATATGCAAAAGAAGGGCGCCCTGTCCTTGGCCTAAGACATGCATTCGGGTAACCCAATTTCTATATCGAAAAAGTCTAGAGACCTAGAAAAAACACTAATCAACAAACAAATAGAAGAAATGCTTGAGCATGACTTATGACTTGCACCTCTGCAAGAAGAGCGATGTGATCCTCGATAATCAACAAACAAATAGAAGAAATGCTTGAGCATAACTTATGACTTGCACCTCTGCAAGAAGAGCGATGTGATCCTCGATAATCAACAAACAAATAGAAGAAATGCTTGAGCATAACTTATGACTTGCACCTCTGCAAGAAGAGCGTTGTGATCCTCGAAGGCGACTGTAATTTCTCACCAGTATCACATCTGGCATAGGATGTTGCATTTCATATGGAGAAGGGGAATTCAGATCAGAGCATGGTTTGGAGATATCTATTCGTCACGGAACACAAGGGCCCTGTAAATGCATAAAGAAAAAAAAAAACGAAAAGGAATTAGAAAAAAAAAACAATGGTCCCTTTTGCCTTTGCATGGTAGAAAAATATCAGAACAGGGCATGAAAAGAGAGTTACTAACTATGATTTGTTATGAAAACAATAGGGTACTAGTACAGGAAGACATGAACCCGATGATGGGTTCCACTGTCCATCATCATCTATTTTTTATAGAATGGTCTTGAACCATGGCCTACACTTTTTCCACTGTCCATTGAATTATGGTATAGTTTGCCTTTTTATAAATACAAATCCAAATACTAAACCTATACTCACCATCACTAAGAACTAGAACCGAGGATACGATGTGCCATAGTGAGGATCGTGCAGTCTCAAAACTCTGTTCAAATGATCCTCTGAATTAAGTTATCTGTGACCGTGTCAACAGATGCTGTTGCTTCATCGAGCACCAACATACGTGCCTGATTCGTAAGGGCTTGACCCAGTGACACAAGCTGCCACTGCCCAACTCCAGTTATCTCCATTTTCCAGAACTGTATATGAACATATAAAGACCAATGTAAAAAAAATCTGATTCCCACATATTGAAAAGGAAAAGAAATTTCTAGGGAGATTTTAAGGAATTCTTCTTTTATTTTTAAGGAATTCTAGGTGAAAAATAAGAAAGCTAAAAAGTAACAAGCATTGGAGAGAATGATAAAAATTTGAAAATCTATTTATTTTCTACTCTTTCATTTCTATGCTAACTTCAATGGGTTACATGGGTTTGAACTTATACCCTCAAGGTTGCAACAAATACCCTCCATCTGAGCCACGGCTCAACTACTTAAAAACAAAAAAAGAGTTTCTTACAACTATATTGATCTTATACTATCAACATATCCTTCTAATTTCTCAAAAACTTATACTTCCATTTGCACATAAACATATTTTATTTCAAAAATTTGTTTTAAATTTTTTTAAAAAAAGAGTCGAGATCTTGCCATAATATCTAAAGCTTTCATGTAATTTTCAAGGGAAAAAAAACAGATGTTAATTGCTAATCTAAATTGCTAAGTAACATCTTAGCTAAAGGAATCTGCAAGCACACACAAACAATTGTATTCAGCAGAAACACCCATACCTGAGTTTCAAGCTTCGATCTTTTCTGCTGGCAATTTCTCCAAGCTGACACCCTTCAAGTGCCTGGGAACTACCAAATAAGATCAGATAGGAATGAAAGTTAATATCATCTTTTTATCCACTAGCAATGAAACTTCACAATTTCATTAAAGAAAAAGAAAAGGAAACACAAAAGCCCACATGCTAAAGCATTTGAGATTAGTTTTTCTTTTGCATTTTCTGATACTTCATAATCTCATCAAGGAAACTAGAGCCAACCCAGAGAGCCTCACTGGTGAACTTCAGTTTTGAAAGTCAGGTTTTGCAAAGACAGAAAGATTAATGGGTAAGAGATAAACACTAACCTCCCATACTTGAAGATCAAGAATGCTCTTCAAGGGGATCAAGGTTGCCTCTAATGATTCCTTCAAAAAAGGCAGGTTCTTGGGGAATGATACTAAGACGAGTGTGCACATCACGAAGGCCAATTGTGGAGATATCAATGCCACCAATAATTATCTTTCCATCCGCAGGTTCAATAAGACGGAAGAGCTTGGATCAAAGCGGACATGCCACTTCCAGTGCGCCCAACTATACCGAGCTTGGATCAAATTGGACGCAATACCAACCCATGATGGGATGCATGTCCCTTGACTCATGGCCACAAAGGAATCACAAATTCTATAAAAAGTGCATTAAATGAAGCCAATAGAAGTTCTCCGGACTTGGTGCTAAGGTAAAACCCAAAGGCCCAAGATGCCTCTTTCAGAAGCCAAGAAAAGTACCCTAATTATATTCATATGTGGTGTAGAATATATATCCCAAATCAAAAGGACTTCTATTTTATCCTATGTGAGATCCAAGGAAATATTCATTTACTGCTTCTAGAGACCAAAATTCAATCGTTACGCAGTATACTTGTGTAAGAAATGAGATCTTAGCTGCTCCTCCTCTACGCTTCTTTATTCTCTCTCTCTTCATCAAAATATTCCTTTCACAAAAATATAAAGGGAGGTTTCTAAAAAAAACTGATTCAGAAAGGGCTGGGGCTACAAGGGCTCTAGGTGCTCCAGTTTCCCATTGACTTTCCCTTGTAACATCTGCACCATCCAAAATAAGGAACAGTGAGGAGGGCTGCAGCTCTAGTTATTACCTACCAAACCATTTTCTTTATTTAAAATATCCAACTAAAAAATGGGCGTTTGGAACGAAGTCAACAGCAATTCTGTAGAAATTGCATTAAAAAGAAGCCAATAGAAATTCTCATAACTTTGCTTTGTGGCACTGCAAAACCCCAAGGTCTATGATACTTCGCTCAAAAGCCAAGCGAAGTACCCCAAATTTTGGGTAAATACTCAGCCTATCCCCAATTATATTCCACATCAAAAGGACTTCTATTTGATCCCATTTCTGATCCAAGCAAATATCATCTAGCTCTTTCTAAAGACCAAGATTCAATCATTATGCAAAATACTTTGAATTAAAAAGATCTTTCTAAATAAGGAGAGATAGGCAAATCACCTTTACAAAATCTGCAACTCAAGCCTTCACATTAATCCAATTGTACTTACATGCCCAAATCACCAAAAAATCAACACTAATGGGACTCATGGTATTGATACCAAGTGCCAAAATCCACCATGTAAATCACTTAGCTATGGTTCTAAAACAAAAAATTCCAGTGTCCTAAAACAAAATTATTTGAAAAGAGAGTACTATAGAAGAAAAGAGCGCCCTCATTCCATACCCCACTTGTTTTCCTCCCTCAATTCATCCTCTTCTTCAGGCGAAAGATCTTTTCAATTCCAAAAATCTTCCAGATCTCTTCAAGGCTCTTATTAGTCATGTGATTTGCGATAGTCAAGCAAGTCATGTCAAGCAAATTCTTCACGTTCAGGTAATCTGCCGCCTGCAAAAACAATACACGGGTAATTAATCAATATGGAAGAAATAGACGCCCCCAGGATGCCGAGAGAGGCATCATTTGTTCTGTAAAGTCAAGAGAATTCACAGAAACTCGAAACATTCTGCTTCAAAAGAGACAGACAATAAGAAAACAAAATGGAAAAAAGAAAGGAAACTGATGAAGGCTCAGTTTACAATTCAAGAAACCCTCAAGTCGAGTTCAATTGAGAAAAAACAAAACTAAGTGAAAAAAAATATATGGTAACATATCAACTGTAAGCTCAGAATAACATAGATTCACATTTATATAAATTAATAGCACTTGAGACTTGAGAGAGCAACTTACGCATCTTTGATATAAACTCCATTACTGACAAAATTCGGGAAGGAAATAAATCCATTGGTCACATTGTAGAACAAGGATGAATGGCAAGGGAGAAAGACATACATGTATAATGAATTCAACCCAAGGCCTGACACATCACAAACACCAGGCCAATCTAGCTAGCACGACACAAGGTTTACAACATGAAGAGACAATATTTACAACATGCATAACTTACAAGTCCGATAAATTCAACTCAATGTATATACCATTCTTACCACGTCAAGCACTCAAGCTAGTAGGGCAAAAAACTCACAACATGCATTACACAAAGTATTACAAGTAGACAAACCAAAAGTAAATGGTTGTTCTAGATAATTATCCTAATAGTAAATATTCAAGTAAATATGGGGTTTATATGTTACAAAAAGCCAGGATTGAGAAATTTGCAATTCTTCTTCTTCTTCTTCTTCTTCTTCTTCTTCGTTTTTTCTTTTTTTTCTTCTTTTGAAAGTTTGATCACCATATTTTGATAGTCACCCATCAAGGTATGGGGCCTTAGCGGTACTATTGCCTAGCCCCATGACGAGGTCTTTACCTCCACTCTCACCCAAGGGTAGGGGCCCACATCCCCACTGACTTACCACTTTTTCTAAGAATGGCATGGGGCCTTAGCGGTAGTATTGCCAAGCCCCATTGTAAGGTCTCTGACTCCATTCTCACCAAAGGGTAAGGGCCCAAATCCCCACTGACTTACCACTTTTTCAAGGAAAGGGGCTGGGGTCGTGGTGGTAGCATCCCCACACCCAGTTACTACATCATGGTATCCATTCCTACCGTTGATACCCCCAATTAACACCTTCAAAATGTAACTCCCCAATCTATTGAAAAAACGGGTAGGGGCATGTCTTCCCTACTAAATTACCCAAAAAAAAAACCATCAGGGCTTTCGAGTTTTCCTCTTTTATTTTTTTCTTTTTGATATATATTACACTAACCACTCAATGTCATATTTCAAAGAGCAAAACAACAAAGTGCTACCATTAGTGTATCAATTCCCAGATCAAACGACTGCCTAAGCTGCCAATAAGAAAGCTATGATGTATTAATAATAATAATACAAAGTCAAGAAGGGAACTCATAGCCAATATATATATATATATATATATATATAGATATAACAAGATCGATCTCAATCTCATGGAAAGCTCAAACAAATGGAAAGATGACGAGTTGACTTGACAATTATAGAGAAATAATGAAAAAATTTCTCCCAAATACAAAACATAAAATAGGAGTTCAACATATGGGCACTTCACCAAGAAGCACGCATGGACTAAAGCTTGAATTTAGATAAAGAATGACTAGCCCCATATAATGTTCACAATTTTAGACAAGAAGAAACAAGCAAATATAAAACTAAGGTGTCAAGAGGAAGAATATCTAATTGATACAAATAATAAACAATTAAAATTTGTTCGAAAAGAACTTCCAATAATAATCATCTAGCAGTGAAAATGTTAGTCATAAGAGGTTTAACCAAAACTCCGCTCATAACAGTGTATACCCCTCCAAATTAATCAACATCTTGACTCAAGCCCTAATATCTTATAATTGAATGAAAATCTTAGAGCATGAAAAAAAATCAAACCACCAAACACAAATTCATGTACAAAGTGACCAAATAACGAAATCAATCACCAAAGCATCACAAGCTTCTTTGTTCTCTAGATTTCTTCTCCAGAATAAATCAATAATAAGAGGTAAATATACAAAGACTCCCCTCAACTCCCTAAATCATTGTTTAAATAACTTTAAACACCAAAATCCATAAAAGCTTCAATGAAATCATAGCTATTGACCCATTATTATCTCCACCATATATCCCATTATAACCCTACTAAATAAAACAAACTTACAAACACTAAAATAAACACAAAATAAAATCTCAAAGAAAACCTAGTTTGTGACTTAGAGAGAGGGACAGAGTTAAATACTATAACCAAAGGACCATTACAATAAATATACTTCCATGAATTAATCCATTGGAGAAAACACTCTGCTTATGTTGTAACGGAAACAAGGCATCAGTAAAGCTAGCCAAAACAAATTTTCACAGTGTCAAATAAGAAATTTTACATCAAAGAACAAAAGATAAGCAACATTGCAGAAAGGGGAAAATCAAAGGATATCGTTATACGAGAAAATAAAGACGCCCACCAAATAAAGGAAATTAGCCCATCACAAGATAAAAAACAAACTCAAAGGAATCCATCAATAACCACCACATGATCAAATATTTACACAAACATATAAAACATAACCACTTCTTTTACATGATCAAAAGTGATGATGGATAAGCAAAGTTAAAACAAGAAAGTAAAATAAAATTCCAAGCAAATAATCAGGAAAACAAAGAAAAAATAAAATATGAAAAGGAAACATGACAGAGAAATGAAAGATAAATAAAGAAGAGAGAGAAAGAGTATCTGTACCAGTGTGATATCAAAAAGGGTTGGCCAATCAACCTCGACAAACTTCTCATCCCACTTCGTGAGGTCTTTCTCAGCCTTCTTCTCTTCTTCCTCTCCATCCTTCCCCTTTCCCTTGTGGTCCTTCATATGGTGATTGAGGTACTCGATTACCTTCGAAAGAATCTTGCCCGAAACATTAGGCAGTGGGATCCCCTTCTCAGTAAGAGTACACCCATCCTCTATGATGTTCTTAATTGTCTCACATTGTAGAGCAGCCTCTTGTGCAACTTCAAAAATCTCTCCATCACCACTTCTCAAGACGATCGTCTTCTTCTCTTCAGTCATCTTGCTGGAACTGGTTTCTTCAGTCATCTTGCTGGAACTGGTCTCTTCAGTCATCTTGCTGGAACTGGTTCATCTTAAGGTCACTTCTTCTCTGTGTCAGGGTAAGTGTTTCCCACCCTACTTTCTATACCCCTACTTCTCTCTACCCTTCTCTCTGGAGAAAATTGAAAACCAGAGAAACCCCAACCCTTTCTCTCTCTGCTTAATAATCTCTCTCCCTACCCTTCTCTGTAACCAGAGAAACTCTAACCCAACTTCTCTCTCCTTAATTATCTCTCAAATCAAAGAAAAACTCTCTCTCTCTCTTTCTAACGTTCCAGTAAAAAGAAAGAAAACCGAACCCTAATTCTCTGCGCGATCCCTTGTAAGCTGAAAAAAAATCCTGCTTCTCTGCCTAAAACCGCGAATCCTTGGAAGCTTATAAAGGTTCTTCGGCACCATCGCCTTACACAGTTTCTGTATGTCCAGTTTGAAGTGAGTCACCTCTTAAAATTTTAGTTAGGACCCGGTTTTTATGCCGCCAATCCCGCATATGTAGAAATGCGGGCCCCTTAGTAAATCTATCAAATGGATTTTAAGACTTGCAGTCTCTAACATGGAGACCATAAATATGAAAAAAAAAATCAATTTTAAAATTTAGAAAAATAATTCTAGTAAGAAAACATTTGGACCGTTAGTTTTTATTGTTTTTAGATAGAACACTTACTTACATCCATTTTTAAAATGGATGTTTTATATTTTCTAAATCACATATATGTAGAAATGCGGTCCAACTCGCATGAAACAATTTTCTAGTTATTTTTTAGATAGAATTTTTTGACCTAATTATTAAGACATTTAAAATGGAAATCATAAATATGAAAAATAAATAATTTTTATAAAAAATAAAAATAATAATTCTATTAAAAATACATTTGGATAGTTAGTTTCAATTGATTTTAAATAAACCACCTATTTGCATCCATTTTTAAGCTGGATGTTTTATAGTTATATTGAGGGACCGCAAATGTAGAAATGTGGTTCCTGCCTTCTCTTATTCTTTCTCTTTTCTTTTCATTCTTACTTACTTGTAAGAATCAAGTGGTTGATAAAATAAGCCTTTAACAATGTTATTTATCATACTTATGTATATGTTATGATACGATGTTTCTTCTCCTCACAATACACTCACATGATAACATGTTTTTGAAAATATCATTATGATATTAAAAATAACAATTAATATGTATTATTATAATGCAAATAAAACTATCTATACTATATTTTAATAGTTTAAAAGTGTTTATAAATACTTACGTTATCATGTCTACAAAATGGAAAAGCTGCTTCATTCATGTTTTATTTTTTTGAGAGAGATGTGTAATCCATCCTTATTTGAACATACAACATGGTTATGTTCCTATATTTTGTATAAAACTAATCCTTATCTAAAATCGATCCAATAATCTCATTCATTGCATTCTTTTTATTACAATAAAATTAAGACAACATATTATGGAAAAAGTTTATATAAAGATGCAATCTTATAATGTAGAGCTATGGATGCACCTCAAAAATCCATCGAAAAAGGTCGTTTTAATGTTGAAAAACCTTTTGATTAATCATCTTGACATCAAAATGTATGACCATGAAAAATAAAAAGATTTTACGTCTCAGAAATAGTGCATTTTACACCATATTATCTACACCGTCCATTTTCAAGATTTTCATATGTTTATAGATCCACTTGATTTTAACTATTTCTTAAATTTAAAATTTATAATTAGATATAAAAATAGATTTTGAGATAATCCTAAAAATATTTTACATCAAAATTATATACCCATGATAAAATTTGAAGGTGCAACTTACCTCTACAGCTACGAATGCATCCGTATGCCAATCGGACCCACATATTATATACCACATACAACATACCATTTACTATACGAACATTGAATTACATACCGTTTCATACACGAGAATAAAATTTAAAAATACCATATTTTTGCATTGTCATCTTTTATATAAATTTGATCCTTATTTAAAATCGATCTAATGATCTCATCCACTGCATTTACTGTATTACAATAAAATCAATCCTTGTTTAAACATTGGACAATGCACCAAATACAACATACCATTTACTACCCAAAACATTGAAGAACATACCATTTCCTATATGAGAATAAAATTTAAGAGAGAGAGAAAGATGTCTATCGTATTTAGGGGAATAGAGAGAGTAAACACTTATTTTATAATGAGAAATGATCCTATAGGACCCGCTCCTGCCCATGTGGGTAAGACCCCAGGGAATCACCATTAAATTTGGCATGAATTTACAAAAAAGCCAAATCCTATACCCATGTGATAACTTTTTTTAAAATCCGTACCAACTTTAACGGTGATCTTTTAGGGTCTTACGTAAATAGATGGAGGAGGGTCCTATAGGATCATTACTCTTTTATCGAGAAATAAAATTTAAGAGAGAAATGTAGAAAAACATTGCTTAAGATGCTTAGGGGAAGAGAAAATTTAGGCGAGGGAGTATGCGTACCATATATGATTTCCATATATATATAAAAGCTTGAGTGAGCCCACTAACTCACAAGAAAAAATGAACTCAACGGTCCAAATTGAATATGGACCGATTTGACGATCACAGATGTCCAAATCATTTGAATTTTAATTTTTTTTCTACAAATCCAAATCACTTGAAATTTTAGGTGTGTGTTCTTCTCATCAAGCCGTACCTAATAAAAATATAAAAAATTAATAATAATAATTCACAAAAAAAAATTAACTAAAATAACCTTTTCGAGGGTATTTTGGTCTACTTATTGCATGTAAAATATTTTTTTGATATTTTTCAAAGATTCATCTATTTTTTTATGTACACACATTCCAAATTTCAAGTGATTTATATTTGTAGAAAAAAAATTAAAATTTAAACACTACTGGACATCCATGATCGTCAGATCAGTCCAGATTCAATTTGGGCCATTGAGCTCATTTTTTCCTTTGAGCTAGTGGGCTCACCCTATACACAGGAAGATACTACAAAACGCCTATATGCGAAAATGAACAGTGATTTCTTCTACAGTCATCACTGTCCAAAGTTCATCGCACGGTCACGATTGTCCATTAGTGTTTCAATTTTAATGTTTTTTCTACTAATCAAAATGACCTGAAATTTGGAGCGTACAGTCATCAAAAATAGAAGAATCTAATAAAATATCAAAAAAATATTTTATATGGAAAATATTTATCAAAGTACCCCCAAAACGACTCTAGGTTATTATGGTCAATTATTTTTTCACGAATTATTTTTTTTATATTTTTATTAGGTCCGCCTTACTAAGATGTACACACATTCCAAATTTTAAATCATTTCGATTTGTAAAAGAAATAAATAAAAAATAAAATAGACCGCATGACTACTACATATGCGGTCCAAAAAGTTTAAAGCATACATCTTAAAGATGAATGCAAGTAGGTGTTTCATCTAAAAACAGTGGAAGCTAATCGTCCAAATATTTTCTTACTATAATTATTTTTAGTTTTAAAATTTTACTTATTTTTTCATATTCATGATCTCCATGTTAGAGATTACAAGTCCTTAAAAATTACGTGCAAAAATCCATCTCAAAAATAGATTCATTAATAAGCCCGCATTTTACATATGCGGGATTAGTAGCATAGAAACTGGATCTTTTACATATGGGTATGGTTTCTATAAGGTTGCATCCTTAAACAATCCAATTAAGTTGCACCTTAAAATTTTATCATAACATGTAATTTTGTTGTAAAAAATTCTTAGTATTATCTTAAAATCTATTTTCATACCTAATTAAAAAATTTTAAATCCAAAAATGGTTAAAATCAAGTATGTATATATATATATATATATATATAGTATAGTATTT